CCCTATTTAAAGAACATGATGGCCTCATTTCTGGCCACCATTTCCTACTTTCAACCCTCTCAAAACCCTAATATCCGTTCCTCTAGCATGAGTGTCCATTTGTGAGCTTCTAAGTGTTCTTGTGGTACCCTTGTAGTGAAGAAGGAGCATGGAAGAGAATGGAGTTGGAGTCCAGGATTTGGATCTGAGCTTTTCTGTGGTTGGAACATCATTTGAAGGTATAAAGCTCAAAGCTTTCACATCCTTTTTGATTTGAGAATATTATGGTCCATTTTAGGGTTTTTGGTCCCAAAGCTTGAAGCTTTATGATTTGTTGAACTCCAGAGCCTAATATCTGTCCTTTTAAGTGTTTCTAGTGGAGAGGATTCATAAAAATGAGGTCTTGGACGTTAAAGCCACCCCATGCATGAGATATGAGCATTTTTGGGAGTAAAGAGTGAGTGTATTTGGGTTTGGGAATTTATCATCCATGCAAAGGCTTAAAGTCATGAACTTTATGGAGTATGAGCAGGGAGTCCAGATCTGAGAGTATAACTATGGTCTTAACGGGTTAAGATCAAAAGAGTGGGAAAAAGAAAGTCTAGATGTATGCCAAGCGTAAATCCAGCACGCCCCGCGTACTGATGAAGTGTCCCCGATGGCCCGATCTGGATTCGTGTGTATGCTGAGCGTACCAAGGGAGGTACGCCCCGCGTAACCTTGTTATGGGCTTTTTGGGCTAAAACTCACATTGGGCCTTAAGTGTTGGGCCTGGATTTTGGGCTTGTTGTACTGGAGATGTTGATCAGAGAAATATTGTGTATATATTGGGCCTTTGTTTTGGACTTGCCATTTGGACTTAACTTTAAGAGTTGGGCCTTGGGAGAGCCCATTTAGTATTGGGCCTTGGTGGACCCAATGAGCTTGAGTTAATTGTGGGTCGGGTAGTGAGCTATCTTTAGACCTAATTAGTGAGGTTTGGTTTTAGATCTTAAATGGGAAATTGTGGGTTTTGGTTCAGTGTTAGAGGCCGGTGTGCAACAACAGCATCTATAGGAGCTGTTCATCATCCGAGGTGAATCTCCTCACTATACTTAACTTGAGTGGTAATTTATGTGACCGGAGGGTCTTGTATGCTATTATTGAGTATTGTGATATCATGCATTATGTCTTTGTGATTTATGTTGTATATTATACTGGGCTTTACTGAGTTAGGACCGGAGGGTCCACCCGAGTTGTGGGACTGGAGGGTCCCACTGAGACACATTGACCGGAGGGTCTTATTCAAGTTATAGCCATGAAAGGCTAATGATATATGTGTGGTGTATTGGGGAAATCACTAAGCTTCGTGCTTACCGTGTTATGTGATATATGTTTCAGGTGCTTCTTAGGATCGCGGGAAGGTGTCGGATTGATTGTACACAGGAGATAACATTATGTTTTGAGGATCCTGGATTTTATTCAACAAGTTATGGATACGTGTTTTGATAATTTGATACTTTGGGGTTTTTGTGAAATGTGTTAATGAGAATTATATGATTCTAAAACGAAACATTTGTTTGAAAATTTACGGTGTTACAAAAAGACTCTACCCTAGGACCACAACCAAACGAGGAACATGAAATAAGGCCAAACCGCTTATTCTAGGGCTATATGATCCTAACCGTATACAATTTTTAAAGCATACACTTACCAATTACCGATACCAATACATATTCCCAATCTCGCATAGCATCCAATGTTCCCTAGGCTACAAGGCATCACATATCAGGCCAATCTATCATGCAATTAATGATAGTATCCTAGCCTTATCCAAGCATGCAATTCCCATAACATATAATCATAACAAACATGTATGGGTATTCTTGGGAATCGCTTGCTTAAGCTCGGCCGATTGCACGCATCACACCCCTTTTATCTTTACAAAATCCTTTTTGAAATTTCTTTCCTTTTACAAAAATCTTTTTAAAACCCATATTCCTTTTTAAGATCCAATACAAGGCTCTGAAACCAACTTGTAATGTCCCAAAAATAAGATCCAAAAATTTCATTTTAAAATTAATAAAACCAGTATTCCAGAAACATCATCATAAAAATCCAGATAAAACAAATGTGTTAATCATCACATCATATCAGAGTAAATTAAGAAAATGTGGAACGAGGTGGTGTGTGCTCTACAATCATCCCGAGCTCTTCCATTTGAAAACCGAAGTACCTGAAACATAAACTGAAAATCGTAAGCACATAGCTTAGTGAGTTCCCCAAATACCACATACCATACATATATTTGCCATGGGCTACCCCCATGGTCTTTTCCTCGAAATTCCATGAGCTACCCCCATGGTCTGACATCCAAGTGTCATGGGCTACCCGATGGTCTTTCCTTGAAATGCCATGGGCTGCCCCCATGGTCTGACATCCAAGTGCCATGGGCTACCCCCATGGTCTTTCATACAAATGCCACGGGCTACCCCCGGGGTCTTCCAAGAAAGTATCACAAAGACAACTAGCATTCCACAAAAACAAGTAATGAGCCGTCATTGTTTCCTTCGACCCATTGATATAGTGAGAAAACTTACCTTAGACAGTTGAAACCCACGGATAATCTCTGACTGTAGATTCACTAAAAATCCCGCGCTATCAATGACCAAAATAACATCAAAGTAATAACTGGGTCCCGACTCACACTAAGAGTCCAAATTAGGGTAAAAGACCTTTTTACCCTTTTCCTAACTTGACCCAAATCCTAGGCCCAAACCACCAATCCAAATGCCCAAATTCCAAATAAACACCCAAGACCTAAATATAACCCAAATTTCCAAATTGGGCCCAAACCCATTTATGGGCCTTTACCTAAGGTCCATCAATATTCTTAGTCCCAAAACACTTGAATTCAGATGGACCAACATGGCCCAATACAGCCAAGCCCACTCTAGCCCAAAACCGAAGCCCAAAGCAACAAAACCCAATATGATGAGTACGCGGGGCGAACTTAGCCTTTACGCTCAGCGTACTGCTTTAAGGGCTTGTACATGCAACATACATACTTGTACACCCTCCCGTGCTCCCCAATTTGGCCAACTTCCCAATTTAGCTCTTAAACGATTGAGACCACAACGCAAGCTCAGATTTGACTTCCTTAAGGTGGTTAATTACATAAAGTTGCCAACTTTATGTGCATGCATGGCTCAATGAAGCTCTTAAAGCTTAAAAGGACTTAATAGATGACTCAATGCATGCATGAGATCATAAATACCAAAAATCTTGCACCTTTAAGCTTAATGAACCCTCAAAACATCCAGATCTACAAGACTTAGCTTCTAAAACGGTCTCAACCCATCAAGACCAACCAAAAGGGGACAAAGAAGCATAAAACCATAATATGGAGAGATCTAAGCAAGGAGAAGATAAGGTATCAACTTGATACCTCAAAATACTTGCAAATTGAGTGATGATTTTGGATCTCTAAGCTACACACTAAGCAATGCACCTTCAATCTTCTTCAATCTCTTCAAAATGAGCAAAATAAGCACCAACTTCTTCTCAACAGCTTAAAGATACAACAATGGAGGCTAAGGGTCGAAATTTAGGGTTTAGGAGGTATGGAGGCTGGTAAAGAGACCATCCCTAGGGACTAAATGAGCTTAAATAGGGTGCAACATCTCAAAACTAGGGTTTCATTAAACCCTCATATGCCCAACGTACTCCTCGTACGCCGAACGTACGAGGCCTCGGTCTCACGATCATTCCCTCTTGGTACGCTAAGCGTACACCAGTGTACGCCCCGTGTACTTCACTTTGCACTAGTACGCCCTACGTACTCCCTATGTACGCCCCGCGTACTAGGGTTACCCTTAAACCCTATAAAACTTCGAAGGCCATAACTTATTCATTATAAATCCGATTTCGACGATCCTTATATCCATGAAAATGTAACTAGAACCTCTACGCTTTTATCAACTCGTACTTTCCTTACAATTTCCCCGAACAAAAATCCAATTTCCATATAAGCCCGAGCTAACAATTTACCAAAATACCCCTTGTATCCAAAATTCAAACCGAACACCCGAATCATCTAAATTACGTCATCCACCTCTAAATGGGTCCAAATCTCAACTCCTCAAAGGTCCTAAGCATGCTAATACCTGATCTTTGATCACCACCCTGAAATAGGTAACGATTTGGGACAGGGTGTTATACACACATACATATTTTACCATTTAATCTACACAATACAAACCTTTTACTCTCAAAATGTCTTCTAACAACCCAAATGCTTCCAACAACCCCAATGCTTCCAACCCAATTGCACTCTTCAGTTACGATCCATCATCACCACCATAATACCATAAACAAGTCGATCCATTAAATTACTATCAAAACCAAATGTTTGTAGGTGGTGTTCCTAGCTACTATTCATAATTCCAAATGTTACAACACCAAATGTTTCCATAAAACGTCAGCATATTGCCACAATAATTCCTATTCTTATCCCAACAAACATGTACAACACCTTAAACCAAAATGCAAACCCATTTCCAATTCCATTCCCAGTCGCCTTCAACACCCTCAACCGAAAACCCTTTTGATTCCAAACCCGAAAAAGAAGCTCAAGCAAAAAGAAAAGGGAGGGTTGAAAGTAGAATATGGAGTAAAAAAAAGAGATGGAATTAGCGAAGGCATGGGTTGACATATCAGAAGATAACATCACCAGGAAGAATCAATCGTGTGATAACTTTTGGATACGTGTTACAGAGCGGTTTTGTAGGGGTATGGGTTGAAGTCCAGATTATCATACACATCACCAATGTAAATTAAAATGGGGTAATGTAAAGAAACTCGTCACCCATTGGAACATAATTTACACAAACTTTGAAAAAATGGGCTAACGGGGGAAATGAGGCAAGTTTGTTGGAAAGAAACACATGCGACATTCCAAGATGACATTCTAAAGACTTTTAAATTCATGCATGTTTGGAATGTTTTCAAAAGAAGTATTAGGTGGAAGGAATTTGGAACATATGAATACATTTTCAATCATCCAAAAAGACGCAAAACAACTTCATATTGGAGTTGACAACACATCTCACCGGATGGTCACATTGATGTTTATCTTAATGATAGTAACGATGACATTCAAGAAATACAAACGCCTCATCCTCCCATTGGAAGGGGCAAAGCAAAAGCTAAATGAAAAAAGAAAAGAGACATCTTCAAATTCGTCGGTCAGAACTGGACGGTCAACCAAATCCGAGGAAATGATGGTGCAAATGACACAATTGAATACAACTTTGGAGAAACATATTATCGAAAAACCGTCTGACTCACGAAAATTCACTGTTAATACAAAATGTGAGACACCTCGACCTCGAAGATCAAGAAGCAGCTAAGGCGGTCAAAGCATTAATTCGGGCCGAATATAATCTACAACAAAAATAAAATTTTAATTTTTTGTTATTTTTTTAGGTTTTTTAATGTAATTTTAATTTCATGTTACTTTTTTAGGTTTCTAAATTTAATTTCATGTTCTTTTTTTTTTCTTCTAAATTTTATAATGTAATTTTAATTTCATGTAATTTTTTTCTAGGTTTTCTAATGATATATTACATTTTGATTAATATTAATATGTTTTATTGAAATTTAATATTTTTTTTTATTTTGAAAAAACAATGCTCATAGGCAAAAACATCACAATATTATAATTAGGGGCAAACAAAACGATAAAAATGACAAACGCTTATTAAATTTTAATATAATCACACTTTAGCCTTACTAAAACTTTACAAACTAAATTTTATTAGAACATTAAGACTCATCCACGTGATATTTGTTATATGAGAAATTAATGTTAAATTATTTTCAGGATATACAATCAAAATTAAATTATGTCAGTGACAACCTTAGAAATATTAGCATCCACCGTTAACTACTCCCTTGAAGTATTAGATTTCCCATTTTATAAACCTAGATCCGCTCATTTATCCATATCTGTCGGCTCATCTGGGGATATATGTGGCCCACCAACTTTGATTCTTTTCGAAACTTGCTACGTGTGGACATCTGCATGCTTTTCGTAGATATATTTGGTCCTTTTTACCATTCCCTTTCTTTCGCGGTCAAAGTTCAACTACTTTGGTTTCTTCTGACATATTCACCCATTTATAGAAGTATGCATTCTCCAAAATTATCCTTAGATACACGGTTGGGGAAATTCAACAAAAACGAACAAATTATCTAAATATAGGAATTAAATGTTGAATTACATGGTTTGGGTAAAGGCTGAATTACACTAATGATTATGTGGTTTGGTGTAATCTGTAGTTGCTTCCAAACAATGGTCCTGTTATTTGGTTTGATTGCGTATGAGGGTGTTTCACTATCTTTTTTTTGACAAAACTGCCATTTTGGTTCCTGTGGTATTCAAAAATCTTTGGATAATGTCCAAAAAGTTTCCAACTTGCATAGAAGGTTCAAAATTAAGGTTTTTCTGGGTTTTTGGTCCATAATACACTTGAAAAGTCGATTTACCATTTTCATTTCCTTTTTTATTTTATTTATTTATTTTGGTATTTAAAAAATTTACAAAAAATAAAAAATAAAATTTCACCCAACCCAACCCAGCCCAACTCTCTCTCTCTCTCTCTCTCTCTCTCTCTTCTCTCTCTCTCTCTCTCTCTCTCTCTCTCTGTAAAAAAGAAAAGTCAAACTCCCAGCCCACTTCTTCTTCTTCCCCAATACAAAACTGATGAACCTAATTCTTTTGTGAATGAGAAGACTTCATCTTCATCCATGTTTGCTAGAACCCTAACTTTTCTCATTACTTCTCACTCGGTTTTTATTTGATGATTCTTACAATCCATAACACCAACAATAGATCCACGAACTCACCAGCACCACCACTACTTCATTACTCCTACCACCATCAACATCGCTTTCTTGTTGTATGGATTCCGACCAGCCCCAGAGGTTCGATAAAAATAAAGATTCCAGAATTATCAAACAAAAATGAAGATTCTGTTGTAATCGAAGTCCGATATTGACTTTTCAGTCAAACATTGTTCTTCTAGTTGCGATCTCTTTTCATGTTGTTGTAATAGATTTGATAGAGGGGAATAAGTATCATCAGAGTGGGATGGATGTGTTGTTGTAACAACATAGAGTTAAATGTATGATAGTCAAACAGTCAGCAATTAACCACAAATCCGTAAACTAGTGAAAAACTGTTTCCGGGCATCACATTCCTGGTCGAGTTTTAAAGAAGTAAGGGATAAGGAGATAAGAAATTATGATAAACCTCATCTTTAGATCCAGTGCCATAGAAGGCAGCAACAATAGCATCAAGTAAAGCAACATCAATCGGGTGACTTAAACCCCTAACCTTCTCCGCCGCCATCGCAGAGAAATTTTGCAAGTGTAAAACCCTAGATGAAAACCTCGAGTGAATTTTTTTTACAGAAAAATCTTGTTGCAGGAAGCAGTGTACAGATGAAACCCTAGATGGTGAAAATGAGGAAGACGGTCTATACATATTCTAGAAGGAAGATAAGTAAATATAAATAAATAAGACAACTTCAAAATGAAGCAGAACAAATGTTAGAGAGAGAGAGAGAGAGAGAGAATTATTTTCTTTTCTTTTTATTTTTAAATTAAAATAGTATTTAAAAAATAAAAAAAATAAAAAAGAAAGTAAAAGGGTATAACTGTCATTTCAAGTTTTTTTGGACTATAACACAGAAAAACCTTGATTTTGGACCTTCAATGCAAGTCGAAAACTTTTTGGACCCTATCCAAAGTTTTTTGCAAACCACAAGGACTAAATTTGCAGTTTTGTCATCTTTTTTAGAGGCAAAAGTCATTTTGGAAAAGTTACAAAAAGTCAGGTTTTCTTGACTTTTCCAAAAAGTCAGTTTTTCTTATATCAAAAATCCAAAAGTAGCTTTTAAAATCCTTTTACCAAACATCTTTTACATTTTATCTTTTCCAAAAAGGACTTTTGCCTCTCAAATATATATATATATATATATATATATATATATATATATATATATATATATATATATATAATCTGTTTTAATAATTATTTCTTATTTTTATTATAATAAAGAAGAAGGCTTTGACTTCTTTATCCCCTAATTCAAACACATTTAGCCTTAATCCATTTATTCCTTCCATTGAAACCAGAACTCTTCCACCTTCCTCCCATCGTTTCCACTGTCGGAGCTACAGCCGGAGCCAGAGATCTCGTCGGAAGGTACCACCACCTCATATCTTTAAGCCAAACACACTGCTAACATCATCTCCTCGAAACCGGTGTCTTCTCCGATGAAGCTGAAATAGGACACCCATCTTACTCTCTGGTTCTCCGGTTTCCTCCACCCTCTCCGACGATTTGATTTCTGTAATGGTTTTCCATATTTGATTTTTCCAGCGATTTCCTTCAACTTTGATTTTTCGGGTTTGCATCACATTTGTTGGATTCTTTTCCGATTTCTTCGATATTTGCTTCAAATGTGGTTTCTGGTTTGGGTTTCTTCAGATTTGCTTTAGATAT